AAAGAAAAACAAAGAAAGCTTAGTCATATAGCAAAACAGTGTTTGAAACGAATCTGGACAGAAAAAAAAGCCTTCAGCAAAGCAAAAAAAAAAAAAAAAAAAATGCTCCTATTTTTCAGGGGAAGAAGCTTTTTTGGTATTTCGCCGCAAAATAAGTTTTTTTTACTATTTGGTTTCTTAATTATTTTACTACCATTACTGTTTTTCTCTCTTACTACTTTCTCATTGCAAGTCAAAAGAAAAAGAACTTAAAACTTTACTTTGAAAAATAAAGGTGATGTTGCTTTGATGCAAATGTCATATAGTATTATCACTTCCAAATTTTGATTTACAGCAACAAATACAAGAAGCAGAACACTAATTATCTGAAAATGTCCGCCAGATAATTGCTTCAGAAGTGATAACGCCAAAAACTGAGCAGTTTAACTAAATTTTCCTTACTAATAAGAACACTCACAAGTCCCTCATTAAGTCAATCAATAAGTGCAAACTGTTTACAACCTTCTTCTACTACTACTAATGACATTCAAATCTGGTTACTTTTAAGACAATAAGGGGAACGTCTGTCGAACAAATTTTACGCAAAGCTTCAGTACTATTTCCAATGCTTCGAAAGAAGCTAAAGGTCGTAAGGATTTGGTCATTACAATCGGACTTCGCCAAACAGTTGAAAACAAAGAATTCATTAGCGAGAAATAACGACTAGAAAACCTTCTGTTTCGGAAAACCCACTAACTGCTTCTTAATTAAACCTTCTCCTCTCTTTTTTCTTACAACGTTTTCAAATATGTAAAACAAAAACAGTGAAAAAAAATTGACATCAAATTTTTAACCATTAAAACAGAAGCTAAAGCTATAAATATAGAAATAAAAAAGAAAAGTAATAACATAGAACGAACAAACCCAATGCCATTCTGACAAAGGGTAATACTGATGACTGGGAATTCTCATTCTGATACAGAAAAGAACAATCATATCAAGAATCAAAATCATCGATATTACAGGGGGTGGCTAAATGCATATAAAAGCTTTGCGATCGGTTTTTCCCGAATTCTAAACACTTTCGTCCAATTATAGTTCAGTTTTTCTAAGTTTATCCAAACACTACTTAATTGTCTGAATGCTGATCATTCAATGAGCACAACACTCGTTTGCCATCCCGTTTTTGCAGTTTCTTTTTCGCCCTATTCACTGACGCAGTACATTCACCAAAAAATAACAGCTAAAATTATTTATCTTCCCCTGCCCTCTCTCCCTCTCTCTCTCCCCTTCCCCGTGTGCCTCTCATTCCAGCAAAATAAAAAAAAAAAGTAAAAAAAATTTTTTTCCAACATTCTGATAAATTTCGACTTTCCAAAAACATTCGGTACTTCGTCATTCCTCGAAAAACCTCAAACCGAGGTAGAAAAATTGAAAGAAACAACGGCCTTTAACACATCTGTCAAGTCAATTCGGCCAAAGCCGACAGCAACTGAGAAAAAGATGCTTAAACGAATACTTTTTCTCCATTTATAAATATAACCAAGTAACCGATTGTATTAAATTAAAAATACCTTTCATCAAGTGTCAATTCAAATCAAACAAATTGATTTATAAGTACCACAACATACCGTTTTGTAACTGCATGGCTCTTAAAAATATACTGATAGTATCTGTTTGCGTCAAGGTTTATTACGCATCAAATATGCTTCTAAACAATTCTACAAAAAGAAGCTGCAAAAGAAACCACAGCTTTGTTTCTTCAAATAACAAAATTCCCTTAAGCAAACCGCATAGGTAATAACTAACCTTCTTACTACTTACCCTCCGGTTTCAGAATCAATAAACAACCGAAGCAACGTACGCTCTTTCGGTTAATCCCTCAGAACAAACTCTAAAGACCATCAAACAACGCGAGCTTAAGTCCGTCAGCAAGAATTTCATCAATTCAAAAATCAAAAACAAG